AGAAAGAAACCGCATTGCTCATTTCTGCACTAATCTCTTCTCAGTAAAGTCCTTTTTTCGCGTTTCCTATCTCCCTAGCACTGAGGCTGTAGTTAGGCCGAACTTTCTTTAACAGATATTTCACACTTTCACATATCAACTACATAAATTGTAGAGATAAATGTGAAAATACGGTAATGACAGTACTTTAGTATAAATGTAGCCACTTACTTCAGTCAACTGTTCTAAACTAGATTTTGCAAAAATATTCCATACTGTTCTAAGATATTGTTTACATATGAACTGATGTATTGGAAAAACAAATTCGTAACGTTGCAAAGATTGTTGTCATGAGTTCAATAAATGATGAAAATTGGCGAATTCTCAGCAAAACTTTACAACAAAACGCAGCTGTTCACATGCGCGATATTTGCACATGCTTTTCAGCAATTTGATGTATGATCATCGTGCAATTCATCTGCATAAAGTTTGCAGTCGGTTCCCCCAAGTTAGTGGAGAAATTCATCTTCGATGTAACCATATATATGTACATAACATAAAGTGAGTGTTTTAAGTGAGTCTAAACTTTTGATGGGTAGTATATTACATTACCTTTGAACTTGTACTGCCTCTCTATTTTGTACAGCCATACTGATACGTTTTGTATCGATTTGTAAACTTAGTCAATTTTATTATACAATTGTTAATTGGATCACCTTTCTTTGCGGTTTGTTGGTTTCAAACCTAGTTTCACAGGTAACCTTTTTTAGTTTCAACCTGGGAGATGGGGCGGTGGGGTAGCCTAGTGGTTAAAGCATTCGCTTGTCATACCGAAGACCCGGGTTCGATTTCTCACATGGGTACAATGTGTGAAGCCGATTTCTGGTGTACCCCTCTGTGATATTGCTGGAATATTGCGTAAAACCAAACTCACTCGTTTAAACGAAAATTTATTGTGGGTGATATAATTCTTCAAGGTGTTGTAAAATTAGTTATTTCTCTCTTGTCACCTGCTAACTAAGGTCTTCCAGTACTATTGGTCCTATTGGCGTCTCCCGCTGTCAACCGAACCGAACAGGCACACAATAAAATCTCAATCATTTCTCACTCCTAAACCTGTTATTGATATAATGCGTCTGGCACTAAGAGAATAAACCAAGGAAAATGTGTCTGAGAGGAATATACATGTCAAACTGCGGCATATTATTTAGGGTTGTTAGCACTACACACTCAGTATTAATGCTGAGAAGTGCGAGCAGACTCACTCAGTCCGTATGAAGTAACAGCTGGTACCAGAATTATAACAACGTCCTGACAACCATACGATTAAAACATCATACTATGCAGTCTTTATTACTTGGACAACAACTGCTGGCTACAGATGCCAATTCTATTCAAATAAACGAGGAAATAACGCTCTCAATTACATGGATGAGAGAGTGAGCTTAGTTTTACGCAGCTTTCAGCAATATTTCATCAATATCACGGCGGGATACACCAGATGTACTCATGGGCTTCACACATTCTACTCACGAACGCTGTAACGACTAGGCTACCCCACTGCCCCAATTACATGAATGAGAAGGTTGCCTTTTTTTGCCTTCACGGGCTTCATGGAGTCCAGGTAAGGTCACACAGCCTGCCAGAATCCTCTAACCAAGGGTTTGTATCCCAGGTATATGAACGATCCATGTACGTATAATATATAGACGTCATAACTGTAACCGGGTGTGTAAGAATAGTGTAATACCGCTAGATGTATGACGTCATAGTGGTTACAGTTATGACGTCACAATGCTAATAACTCTGGCACAATGGTATTAGACCTTGCTTGACTCGTGGGAAGCTGAGAGTCATTTCACTTCGTAGGCAGTTTCTATCAGTTTATGTTGGAGAGTAATAAACAGAATACTAAACTCGCTTCCGTTGAAATACCACTTTTATTAAACACGTGAAAGATTTAGCATCAAACTCGCTTTCGCTGGTTTGATTCCAAATCATTAACTCATTTAATAAAAATGGTATTACACAGAAGGTCGTTTAGTATCCTCTATTTCTTACACACCCATGGGTGAGAAACCCATGTGAGAAAACTGGTATCACACATATGTGTGAAATCGATTTCTAATCCCGTGATTGGCTACTCCATGGTGTTGACCTAGGGTCAGGTTATGACGGACTACTTTCCAGATTAAAATTCATTGATAGGTTACTCGTGCTTCAATCGAACAGAAACCTGTTACTCGTGCAAAAAACAACAACACCTACCTGTCATTTTCACGATTGCAACATAAACAGGTATGTATACAATGAAACACAATTAGAATAAATATAACATGAATCTATTTATTTTTTAATTCCTTTAGATTTCCAGTCATGAATTCAAAATGGCTCGAACAATCATTGATACCTGTACGTGTAAACAATTATGTGAAAAGCGCGTTAGAAATAAAGACCGGGATTCCCTTCTAATATTCAAAATGTACAACATTGGTACTTTTACTGGAGAGATGCGACAAGTGTCATGTATCATCTTGCAAAAATACCTGACACGATAACGTCAGTGCCTGTCAATTGTGAGATCGATTTGCCTCGTTGTTTCTTCGATGCATTGATGAAGATGACATTTTTCACTGATACAGTATGATGAAGACCCACTTCCAACTCCGAGCTACAATGTGATTCCAATGTTATCAAATTCACTCAGAACAATCACACACTCGTTGAAACAATGTATCAACATGGAACGTTTTGCAAGGCTTCATGAGTGCAATTGGCGGCACACGTCCTTTCTATTCCATCGAACATATATACAGGAACAGTTGATTTACACATAAGTCATTGCTCAAGATATTCATCCGACGCATGATAATGCAAAGTTTATGTCCTGATAACATACAGGATGTAATCAACTCACATTTCATACTGACAACTCCGTAAATTCCGTTACATTCGAAGTGGCAGTTTCTGGCTCGGGAAAACGAGAAGGATGTGGCGAAGAAGAGAAGTCCCCCATTGATAGTGAACGCAACTTCAGCAATGTCACATTCAAGCACACTGGGTGCCCCTAATGACGCACACTCAATAGTTTTGGCTCCGGTCGATGGGAGAACATTGAACGTAAACTGGTACACAAGTACAGATCCCCAATGTGCAGAGATATCCAAAACAATCTTCTGACAACCACCAAGCGATAACGATGACGTCACACGCTCAAATATTTTTTGCTTGCAAGAATTAAAATCATGCACATTTGCACGGTAACATCATCGTTTCAGAGGGTTTAATTAATTTTCTGTGATCTTGTCTAGTTTTCATTATCACTATTGCCTTGATGGTGCGAAGAGGTGGCAGAAACTTTTTGTGGCGGGTCACCATGGGGATGAGTAGTGATTAGGAAGCCAAGTGACGTCACTCATTCGTAAACGTTGTGTTGTGTATTATTGCGCAACTACGATGAGGAAATATTAAATTTGAATCTATTCGAGCATAAAATGGTGCGATTTTTATGGTGTGTGAGAAAAGATTACTGTACTCGTGTCTGTCAGATACCACTTATCTTACAACTCGTTGTTTTAAAACGTATTTAACGAGCGAAAGCGAGTTAAATACGTTTTAAAGAACTCGTTGTAAGATAAATGGTATCTGACAGAACTCGTTTAATAATCTCTATGTGTAATATTGCCGTAAAATATTACACTGCAGTATCTTCCACGGGCGAGTAATATTTTGCCCTCTACCGACGTGTTGAGTCCCGATAACCAGTGTGTTGTCCGCTTACAGCTGAATAAATATGAACATGTTTGCATGCTCTTAGTACACTACAATAAATTGTAGGAGATAAATGTGAAAATACGGTGTTTTTCTATTTCCGACAGTACTTTAGTGTAAATGTAGCCACTTACTTCAGTCAACTGTTCTAAACTAGATTTTGCAAAAAGCCATGTATTCAAATAGACATTGTCAAGTTTTGTCGTGTGGAAGCAGGTGCCGCGCACAACTAAATGGTAAGCAATGAATAGTTCCCATGCATGTGTGATATAGTATCAAGAAATTAACAGCATAATTTTTCAATTTGCAGGTATCGGTATCAGACACTACTATACATGTTACACAGATGATTGCAATTATAATACAATACTGCGTCATATTGCGAATGGAAATCTATGCACACACAAATACATGTATTATTGTGTTCAAAACGGTGGCAGATGTCTGGATATTAAGGATGGACCTATGTAATATGTATAAACGCAGATTTATATTGCATTCTTAATAGAACAACCATGTAATCATGTACAATGCCATGATGAAAACTGAAATGAATGATTCAAGCATGATTTGTTGAAAACAATAAAAAGGGCATGTATATGTTGTAGGAAATACAAGGCTCAAAATATATTGTTCACGTCCTGCAGTCAGTATAAATTCCACGTAACAACTAATGTAATTCCTTCTTAATGCTTCGACATTGGCGGATGCGCACAACCAACAAGGCAGTCCGTCATTAACGGTACTACTGATTACTGATTACTGAACTTCAACTGCAGGTATCAATTATAGTTACAATATTGCTAGTGCCACGTCAAACAACAATGGGTTGTCAAAAGTATGAAACCTCACCACCAAGATTTGAAAAACATTTGTACCAAACCATCTTAGTGTTGTTTAAGCCTTGCCAAAAAACAAGATATAATTGCACTATCATTGTTTTACATGAAATTAATACCCGTGAAGGTCCGGGTTAGAATGTACCTTCAGTAACCCGTGCTTGTCGTAAGAGGCGACTAACGGGATCGGGTGGTCTTCGGCTTTACTTACTCGATCGCGGTTCTACAATCCCGACCAAACCGAGGAGTGGTTTATCCTATACATAACCTGACACCATTTGCATTGTGATCGGACCGCAACATGATTCTCGCATTGGGGGTTGTTGAACCTTATATTTTGTTTTTAATTTTATTCATATGTGATGTGAGTAAAGCATATTTCACTCATGTTCACGGCTATTTTCAGACCTGCCAATGTCTCACAAAGTGCAATTAAAAGACCAAAGTGGACATAGCATTGCTGTCAACTGTGTAGATGGATTTTACTTCCACCGAAGTGAGACAGCAAGACCTTTCCATCAGCATTTGGAGGGCATCAGAGACATGCAGCTGCGCCCTGATGACGTCTTCGTTTGTGCCTACCCTAAGTCAGGTAGGATGAAGCAGCTATTGATGTATCACTTGCTCACAACCACCAACCACCACCCATCCACCCACCCACCCTTAACATCAGCATCAGCACCAACTAACCAAACCCCCAACCACCCCTAGCCATAAACTATGAACGGTCCCTATGTGACTGTATGCACATATGAATTTTGAAGTTGCGGTCACAGTATAAGTTGTTCACTGGTCTCGAGGGGGCCATGGGCCCCGAGTTACTAGTCAACAACGTATATTTATCTTACCGAACACCTCAATGGTAATTTTGTACTGCTTGAAGCACGGGTATCGGATTAGAGTTATCTCCCTTCCATCGATTTGCATTCGCAAAACATCGGTAATTTCCGTATATCATACGTGACTCGATGTTATTCGAGATAAAGAAGTACTTCTACGAAGTACCTAATGAGTTCGGCATTCCCAGTGGGGGAATAGAAAATGTTACTCGTTTGTAAGCGGGGTACATAGAAACAAACAGAAGAGCGCTCAGCCAATCAGAAAACGACATTTATGTGTGAGGCAAGATAATACCTTTTGCCTCTGACTAAAATGACTAAAATAGTCATAAGAATTGCCAGTCTGAGTGCCAAACATATAGCAACTACATGTATCACCATGTCCAACATGGTAACACATGCCTAACAATCTTTGTTAAAACACAATGTTATGAAGGCGAGGCTTTATTGATTTTGACTTCTTAAGTGTAACGAGAGTAACAATTCTGTCTTCAACCCTTAAATACCCTACTCATTGTATATTAATGCATGCATGAATACAGGAACACTGCCCAAACTGGTGTAAAACCACACTCACTCACACAATCACTCATTGTATATTAATGCATGCATGAATACAGGAATACTCGAATCAGCAATGCTTGAAAAAGGGCCATAATCGTCAAATGTGTCATTTCGAGACTGTTATAGTTTATGATGCACGAAAGCTGTAAACCTATACACTGTGTTAGCTCAACACTGACTGATACACCTGCAGGTACGCACTGGATTTGGGAGGTTGTCAGCATGGTGGCCCATGAAGATTTGGTGTACCGGAACCACCTGGAAAGACTTAACCAACCCGATTTCAGATCCACCCGTTACCTTGACAGTCTGACATCTCCCAGGGTGATGAGCTCCCACCTACATCTCCGATATCTTCCACGCCAAGTCTGTACAAACAGAACCAAAATCATTCTGCTCAGAAGAAACCCCAAGTCAGTGGCCGTGTCCTACTACTACATGACAAAGGGCATGAGATCCATAGAAGGCTGTGAAACAGGGTTAGTGACGGTCCAGGACTATGATGGGAAATGGGAAGACTATCTTCAACTGTTTCTGGACGGGGAAGGTATGAATCTGGAATCATGTATACCATTCATATCTCTTTTATTCAATGGCATGTTCTGAAGAGGCCACAGGCATATAGTACAATGTCAAATACCAACAATGGCACACAATCACAAGGTCTGTCTGCCCTGCATGAAAAGTTTGTAGTTATTCCCACTGATAAGGCCTCAAATAACATAACCATTATATGTAAACATCACTACTCCACTCAGACACATCATACTGACTCCGAGCCGACCAGCCCTTGTTGTACCTATTAATACCGAGCGCCAGGCTGGGAGCAACAAGTACCATATTTTAACGTCTTTTGGTATGACGCGGTCGGGGATCGAACCCGCGACCTTCCGCTCTCCGGGCGGACGCTCTAACCACTACACCACGGAGGCGGTCAATGCCACATATAAGGCCAGTATGTTAACTGAGGAAGAGATCTGCCTGAGCCATTCAACGTTGCTATCAATGTTTGGCTTGACTTTCAAACCTGAAGACATGTCCGTTCCTTTTTTGTACTGGATTCCAAAGCTACATAAGAATCCTTACAAAGTGAGATATGTTGTTGGGTCCAGTAAATGTACCCCCAAAGCACTGTCTCAAAGATTAACCATAACTTCTTAATACTATCAAGGGGGGACTTTCTGGATATTCACAGAAAGTATTTGAGACAAGCGGAAGTAGACCATATGGAAACTCAAAAGCTCATGGATGTGCTGACATTTTTACAATCCCAGAAACGGACCGAGTTCCCCGTATATAAACAAGGAAAATTTTTGAAATTTCCATTATGTTCTCTGCATCAGACAAGAGTACACTCCAGCACATTGTCTAAATATAGGACAAGTCTAAATATAACCAATGTTGCTCACTGACTCCAGAGGTACAATGCATGGCAGGTGGAACACACATGGTACAACGTATAACACTGCCGAATAACTCGCTCACTAGCCCACCGCTCATCCACTCACTTACATACTGATAGTGATTCTTTGTTTGACAGATCCAATGGCTGTTGTTAAGAACTTCATCAGCTTGGGCGTTCTTTCCTCATAATGTAGATTCGTTGTAACTTTAACAACTCTTTCAAGATAACATATGCATTACATCTGCAGTCCCGTATGGCTCCTACTTTGACTACCTGCTGGACTGGGAGACTGAGAGGACAAAGCACCCGGAGTTGCAAGTCTTAGACCTAACGTTTGAAGAGATGAAACAGGTTATGTTTGAAGGCAATCACTCAACACTAATGAAATGAGCTGAATGTTGTTACGATACAAAGCGTCCAACATTTAAATGAACAATGATACGATTACCAGTATTTTCCGCACAGAATAGTGTAGAGTGTTTTCTGCACAGAAATGAGTAGTGTGTTTTCTGCACAAAGTATTGTAGCAAGGTTTTTTCACGGAATATTGTAGTGTGTTTTCTGCAGATTATTAAGGAATGGTTTCTGCATAGAATATTAGGGTGTGTTTTCTGCACAGAATTTTATAGTGTATAGTTGTCAAATTATTTGACAATTCCATTTGGTATTTCAGAACCCAGTCCTTACTGTACTGAAAGTTGCAAAATTTCTTGGAAAAGAAATGACACGACAGCAGGCCATGTCGATTTCAGACGCCTGTAACTTCCAACATCTAAAGACTCGTGACGCTGATGATGAAACTAGATGTATGGACATGACATGGAAAGAAGGATATGGAACGTACAGAAAAGGTATTGGTGAAAATTGGCCCGGAGTAGTAGGATCAGGTCCCATCTATCCGCCCACCCACCCATAATTCATACATACAATACACGCGCACGCACACACGCATACGCACGCATGCACGCACACGCACGCACGCACACACACACATACACGCACATACATGCATGCATGCATGCATCACCCCTTTTGAGTTCTATTATATCCAAGAACTGAATGTGTACATACGGTTTTAGGGATGTGGGGGATGATCGCATCCGACAGGTGATGTAATATAAGTTGTTCACTGGTCTCGAGGGGCACATGGGCTGATGTATCGTCGATGTTTGTTTATGCTCCCTGAGCCCGAAGGGCGAGGGGAACATAAATAAGCATCGAGGGTACATCAACCCGAGGGCCCCGAGAGACCAGTGAACAACCTATATTACATCACTTATAATACATCACTTAACAATACAGTGAAGCTTATCAGCAATAATTCCAATCAAGCTGAAGTGACCTCGTAAGTATAAGTAGCAGTGGACTTCCCCACGGAGATATCATGTGACAGAAATGGCCATTCTAGTTGTATAACACGGACTCTCTGAAACACAAGCATGTAAATAATAATTGCTCATATCTTCAGTTAGTAACGTTTTATACTGACACTTTCTGTTTTAGGAGAGACACAAGAGTGGAAGAAATGGTTTACTACTGCTCAAAATGTTCACTTTGACAAGGTGTTTGCAAGGAAAATGGCCACCTCTCAGCATTTGAGAGAATGGAGTTAACGCACTATCCAGTAATACAAGAGGCGTCATGGTGTTTGTCTGGCCATGATTCGATCTGTCGTCTGGATACAGGTAGTTGTCGTATGGCCTCAAACAACCAATCACTTTGATTACTTATATGGCCTCAAACAACCAATCACTTTGATTACTTATATGGCCTCAAACAATCAGTTACTTTCATGACTTTGGTTGCACGTAGTTGTTGTATAGCAATTTACTTTAATTACTTCCTTAGTCTATACCCATGGATTTAGTGCGCTGAAGTTTGTACATGGGTTAGTCCGAGACTGGCCTCAGCGCGACTCATGTGTCACCAGCATCGTAACGGAAGGGGTCAGATATGTATTGTTCCGGTTAAACACTAACTCCAATGCCTTGTGCCAAGATGATTTTCTTATACATTTCATTTGCTAAAATAAAGAAGCGACAATTTGCTTTTGTTTATATTTTGATAATATGAAAAATATATTTTGTGAAAGACACCTTCAGTTAGGCTTACTAAGGCCTTCAGTGTAATGCTGATCAAGCAACAACTTTGACAATAAATTAGAAGCTGCTTCACATTTCAACTGTTTGAATGTTTATCCCCCAGGAGCCCGTTCCACAAAGCGATCGTAGCGCTACGACAGTCGTAAGCGTATGTTACAGTATGGGAGTTACGATAATCTTAGCGCTACGATTGATTTGTGAAACGTAGCCCAGGATTGAAAATGTCTTCTTTGAGTGGCATTGTTTAGAAGTTGGAGAGGAATATACGGATAAAGCGCATTATGAATAATGTAGTTGTTCATCCATAAAGCTTGTCAGTTGTCATAATAAAGAAGTTGTTCATCCATAGAGCTCGTGTTGTCATAATAGTGAGTGAATGAATTTAGTTTTACGCCGCACTCTGCAATATTCCAGCTGTATGACGGCGGTCTGTAAATAATCGAGTCCGGACCAGACAGTCTGGGTTTATAATTACAGCATTAGTGTCCGTGTCCGAGAGAGAGAGAGAGAGAGAGAGAGAGAGAGAGAGAGAGAGAGAGAGAGAGAGAGAGAGAGAGAGAGAGAGAGAGAGAGAGAGAGAGAGAGAGAGAGAGAGAGAGAGAGAGAGAGAGAGAGAGAGAGAGAGAGAGAGAGAGAGAGAGAGAGAGAGAGAGAGAGAGAGAGAGAGAGAGAGAGAGAGAGAGAGAGAGAGAGAGAGAGAGAATATATGTATATTATAAAAACCTGTCGACGAAGGACAGTAAAACAACTAGAATATCACAATTACAACTAAAACTATTTGGACAATGAGTTCAGCTCATACATACCCGTAGGGACGTGACACGTGTACATGTAAGTCATTATCCCAGTGGCATTCTCCCTTAGCGTCTTCAATGACTTATCATTAATTTTATATGGCACGTGTATATTAAACTTGAAGCTGAGAGCATATGCTGTTTGAGTCAGTGAGTGAGTACGGTTCTACGTCACTTTTACTAATATTCCAGCAATATCATGGGCATCACACATTCTGCTCATGTGGGAAATCGAACCCGTGATCCTTTAACCACGAGACTACCCACCGCCCCATGAATAAGTATTTAACTAAGATTTTGTACGTGACCATGCAAACAAGGGGAGTGACAAATTGTGCTAAGTCTACTATATATATTTTGTTGTTGGATATAGTCCTTTAAACAATAAATGCGTTTCACATAGGTTTTAAATTTGATATTTCACTCAGGTGAACTAGTACACTCTACCTTAATGACACTGAATATTTCAAACTGTGACATGTACAACCAGGACATGTATATATATATATAATAAAAGGTGCAGTTAGTGTTGCATGGACAGCCACTGTGCATATTTGCAGAAACAGGTGTTCGCAGTACTTATCACAATGCTACATCTCAGATGGTGTATTCTGCCGCCATCTGTGGATACATTTTGCAGTCACTGCAACAAAGCTCACTCCCTGCTCTTATTTTCCGTTGGTGTATCGAGTTGACAACTGCAGGCTCATCTTTTCATTTCCAAATGTTTACGCCTATCTGTTTACGTCCATCTTTTCATTCCTATCTTTTTTCGTTGAACTTTTCAGTCCCATCTTTTTTCGTTGATCTTTTCAATCCCATCTGTTTACGCCCATCTTTTCATTCCCATCTGTTTGCATCAATCTTTTCATTTCCTTCCGTTTACGCCCACCTTTTCATTCCCATCTGTTTACGCCCACCTTTTCATTCCCATCTGTTTACGCCCATCTTTTCATTCCCATCTATACACGCCCTCCTTTTGCATTCCCTATGTTTGCGCCCACCTTTTAACGCCCATGTGTTTACGCCCATCTTTTCATGTCCATCTGTTTGCGCCCACCTTTGAACGCCCATCCGTTTACGCCCATCTTTTCATTCCCATCTGTTTACATCAATCTTTTCATTTTCATTTACGCCCAACTTTTCATTCCCATCTATACACGCCCTCCTTTGCATATCCTATGTTTGCGCCCACCTTTTAACGCCCATGTGTTTACGCCCATCTTTTCATGTCCATCTGTTTGCGCCCACCTTTGAACGCCCATCCGTTTACGCCCATCTTTTCATTCCCATCTGTTTACATCAATCTTTTCATTTTCATTTGCGCCCAACTTTTCATTCCCATCTATACACGCCAACCGTTTCACGCCCATCCGTTTACGGCCATCTTTTCATTCCCATCTGTTTGCGCCCACCTTTTCACGCCATCCATTTACGTCCATCTTTTCATTCCAAACTGTTTACACTGCCCACCTTTTCATTCCCATATGTTTACGCCGCCCACCTTTTCATTCCCATATTGTTTACGACCATCTTTTCATTCCCATCTGATAATGTCCATCTTTTCATTCCCATCTGGGGCGGTGGGGTAGCCTAGCGGTTGAAGCGTTCGCTCGTCACGCTGCAGACCCGGGTTCGATTCCCGACATGGGCACAATATGTGAAGCCAACTTCTGGTTTTCCCCGCCGTGATATTGGTGGCATATTGCTAAAGGCAATATTTGGTAAAGCCAAACTCATTCACTCACTGTTTACGCCAACCTTTTCATTCCCATTTGTTTACGCCCACCTTTTCATTTCCACCCGTTAATGTCCACCTGCTCATGTGTACATGATTACGCCCGTCTTTGAATGTCCACCTATTTGTAACAGGTAACAAAGTTGACGACGTCATCCGTCGAGGGATGCCATTTGTTTTATTGCATAAAAGAATCAAAATGCTTTTTACAATTTGTTTAATTGCAGATGTTGAAGTCGTCTCCCAGCGATATGACTGATGATAGAATACAGCAGCAATTAAATAAGTCTTCTGCCATTTATGATGGTCGTACATACCACTCAAAGGAAATGAAGAACACGTATTCCGTATATGTTCGGAGTGTTCCGTATTTAATGACTATGGACAGATACAGTGTTCTTTAACCACCACTGAAAACTGACAATAGCATTATGCAAGAAGCATATGGTGTATAACTGTTATGAGAGTTCTTTTAAGTTTTTAAAGAGATACTATTAAATAAGCCTGTATTTAAAGAATTTATTTAAAGAATTGAACGTTGATTTCCAGATTCAGGTACAGATTGTATAGAGAGCTCAAAACATTTCTAGAATATTTGTATATTTGTATATTACTATCCACAAACAGAATGCAAATATGTTTTTGCAAGTGAAACGAACCGTAAAGAAACACATTGAAAAAACATAGCCAAAAGCTGTGCGAAGATCATATCTGACCCTAGATTCTCAGCCTAGGCCTATTTTGGAAGCTTGACCATTGCAGCAGATCGGTTAAAATTATCATCAATATTTTATTGCTATAATGTTTGCCTTTATGATATATTGTCTTTTATGTAACTATTTGTTTGAGCATGGGAATCAACACGTACCACTGGTCAATTTTCCTCCTTGTAACCCAAGTCATAATGTGAGAAAAGGAAGATAGAAACTGAACCTAAAACTCATCCTGTTTGCAATCACTGTTCTAATGCTGATTATATAGTATGACCAGAAATTAATGAGAATTTTAGGAACATGTTTAATTGGATTTCTAGTATAAACAACCTTGGCCAGCTATCAAGTCATTGGTTTCATTCAAGAGAGACAACTCCGTTAATCCTTTTTCATTAGTTTGTGAAGAGTTATCCCCCTTTGTTTACTACTTGCTAGCAGACGACATTTTCAGTGATCCTCAGTACTGACTGCCTGACTGAGTTTACTTTACTATTCCAGCAAAATCACGGCGGGGACACCAGAAATGGGCTTCACACATTGTGCATGTGGGGATTCGAACCCGGGTCTTTGGCGTGACGAGCCAACGTTTATTAGGCTACCCACCGCCCCTGATCCTCAGTATGATATAGAGAGAAGTTGATTTTAGAGTATTATAACAAGGACATCAGATCAGCTTAAGTGATTTCAAGTAGGCAACAGGCATCCCTTTGACCACTGTTTATCGTGTTTTGAAAAATATTGCAAATGGATATGGCATTGAGTACCAGGGAGGCGCAGGTAGGCCCAGAAAATTGACTGTCGGTGACAGGAGGCGGCTTGGTATTTTTGTTTCTAAAAACAAACGAAGGAGTTTAGAAAACGTAAGGCTGGATATGATTGATAGAGGAACTGTGGCTGTCTGTAAGGGGACAATTAGAACTGAGCTACATGCAAAGGGTTGGCAGAAAAGTCGAGGAATTCCATCACCGATCATGAAACCTGAACAAAAGGAGCGAAGGTTGAACTGGTGCTTACAGCATAGAAATTTTAACTGGGACAATGTGATTTTCTCAGATGAAAGTTATGTGTGGCTGTTTCCTAATACACTGAAATTCTCGACCAAACAAACTGAAAAACCTTTGTATCAGCGCCCAAAGTAGAGTCCGAAATTTAACGTGTGGGGTGGCATATCTGTGTTAGGGACAACGCCCCTCTGTGTATTTAAAGGAATATGAACAGTGAGCGGTACACAGATATTCTCGAGGGACATTTACTTCCATCTTCTCACGTGTTCTATGGAATTTTTGGATTTTCCAGCAGGACAACGACCCAAAACATCGTTCAAAGCATTCACAGGCCTGGTTTCGGACCCAAAATATTAGATTTGCCAAGCTATAGCCTGACCTAAATCCAATAGAAAATGTTTGGGGATTTATGAAGGAAAGTGTCAATAAGACAAATCTGACAAATATCGCTGAAATGAAAGAAGAGGTGGTCCGATATTGGAACAGCATGGTCCACGACTTTCTAACTTCTTTGATCAGTAGTATACTCCGCCGCATTGAAGCCAGTCATGGGTTCAATTACTTTGAAATGTAATTAATTAAATTACAATTACTTTGATTTTCCTCAATTACAATTACAAATACAATTACACCTTAAATTAAAATGTAATTAATTAAATTACAATTACATTACCAATGTAATTA